AAGTTTAGGCTGAGAGTCACAGTAAATAGACTCACGGGTAGGAGTGACAGAGGTGTCATGGGAGTTTAGGCTGAGAGTCACAGTGAATAGACTCTAGGGTAGAAGTGACAGGTGTCATGGGAGTTTAGGCTGAGAGTCACAGTGAATAGACTATAGGGTAGGAGTGACAGGTGTCATGGGAGTTTAGGCTGAGAGTCACAGTGAATAGACTCACGGGTAGGAGTGACAGAGGTGTCATGGGAGTTTAGGCTGAGAGTCACAGTGAATAGACTCTAGGGTAGAAGTGACAGGTGTCACGCGTGTTTAGGCTGAGATTCACAGTCAATAGACTCTAGGGTAGGAGTGACGGGTGTCATGGGAGTTTAGGCTGATAGTCACAGTAGAGTCAAGGGGTCCTTAGGGTGGGAGTAAAATTCTTGTCACTGTAAATGTCCTGGAGTTACTGCAATGATGGATAACAGAATATCATATTAAGTGATTATCTTAGACATCACATCTTAGACATTCTCTGCAAATTCATAATTTGAAAGTATTTAACATAACACATATAGAGTATCACTTGGTTTTCATTGTATAGTACAAAGGAACACACACAGAAATTGTATTCAAAACAAGTAGCTCTTCAAAATACACCAGTTATGTATAACAGTGATAACTATCTTATTTTTGTGCAGTTGCCTCAAGAGACTTTAGGCAGAGAGTGACAACACAGTCGCATGATTTTAGGAGTCACAGTAGAGTTAGAGGAATTTAGGCTAGGGGGTCACAATGAAGTCAAGGTATTTTAAGCTGAGAGACAAAGAAATATTAAATAGTGTTGAGGAGATTTTAGACTGGACCACACACTGGAGTCAGGAAACTTTGGGAGTTAAGAAAAGGATTTCAGAGGACTTCAACTGAATCAATGGGGATTTTAGGCTGATAGTCACATCATAGTTGAGGTATATAGGCTACGAGTCACAGTGAAGTTAAGAGACACAGTGGAGTCTGAGACTTTAGGGTGGGAGTCACAACAGAGTCAAGTGATTTTAGGCTGAAAGTCAGCAAAGTCAAGAGAGTCTGGGAGTAAAATGTTGGAGTAGAGACTTTAGGCTGGAAGTCAGGGACTTTAGAATGGGGGTCAGAGTCCGAGGATTTGAGTGGAGTCATGAGGAAAACAGTGGAGTCAGGTGAATTTCAGGGTACTTCTATAGCCTCTATATCCAGGCTTTCAAATAATATTTGATAAATGAGAGAATAGAGAATCTCTTTAAAAAAGTCGTAACACCCTTGCTGCTTCCTTATGGCAGTGGAGTTCAGGAAACTTTTGGCTAAGAATCAGAAAAGTCAGATATGTGTATATTCTACTGTACTGCACACAGAATTTAATGACATTATGGATCGAGTCATAAATATACCTCTTCATAACAAAACTCCAATATCCATGCATATGCTTCAAGCATTGAGGGAATATAATTGTTGGCCGAAAATCTCCTGATTGAGAATTATGGGTAATTTGTAGTACAGTGCAATATAAGCCTTACTACTGTAAAATACTTTATTTTAGCTAGAATTAATTTTTGCTTTGTTTTGTATGGAATTTATTTTCACTGATTTTTGAGGAGATGAATGTAAAATATAGGAAAAAAAGAATATTCGCTCGATTTTATTTTCACTGAATCATTCCTTCAGCGAAAATAAAGTATTTTACAGTATTCTAATTGGCACACATACAAACGTTTCATTTAATATCAACACACACTCTAAACCAAACAATAAATATGTACATTACCATATGCAGATAACCATTTGCATACAGACATTTTATTGGAAGATGGATGGAATCATTGGAATTGTACAAGTCTACTAAATCCCCAGTAAATTATATTTACCCACAATTCAATAAGATGTACATGAAATATCTTTTGTAAAGCAAGACATTAACAGTAAACAGACTATTGGCAGGAGTGAGTGTCTCAATATTTACAGATACAAGAAAAGAATATGTACAATATTTCCATGGTGGAATGTGAATATTGACTTAATTTGTATTTGTCAAGTAATTGGAATGAAGGTCTATTGCTGGGTATATGTGATAACAAAGTTAGTATTTATTAATTTGGATGGATCACTGAAAATATGCTTTTTTTAATCAGAAAATAAAGATTATCTTGTGGTAGAAACTTTATTACCAGTCACCACTAATATATAAATCTAATGAATGTAGTCTCAAAATTTAAAGTTTATTAAACGGTTAGGTCAGGATGATAGTTTGCATAACATCACAAATATGTTTATAGCCACACTAATAACAGACATATGCTGGTTATTAAGGTCAGCAAGCAGCAGGTGAAATATTACAACCTTTGCTCACTGTGTAGTATTATGGTACATGACCACTACAAAGGTTTTCTTTACATATTCCAATGTCAGTGCAGAGTTTACTACTACTGATTAATTGAATATTATTTCATACATGGGTTGACAAGTAAAACAAACACATGTATGGCAGGAAAATAACTACAGAATACAACACTTAATGATGCTACTAAAGAGCCAGATAACAACATGACTTGTTAATTTCCAAAAATTTTGTCTTCAAGAATAGTTAAATCATGAAATTCCTAGCAGGAAAAATTAAGCAGTTCACAGTACTTATTGCCAAGTTCAGTACTTGTCATGCTGAATTGAGACAATACCTCATTTGATATTTAGGCCAAACAAAAGTTGATTGGTTTCTGGTCTGCGCATGTGTCAGCTCCAAAGGCTGTGACCGCTTAAGTTTTTTATTTTGTTTTGAGAATGGAATCCGCTGGTGGTGCAACATTCTTTGAGGTTTCATCACACGTTTTTTTTTTTTATGAAACTTTGGACCATAAACAGATTATTTTATCTTGTACACTACATATAAATCAGAACAAGCACATACAAATTTTCATAAGTAATTTACACTTACAATAGTGGACCATATGCTAGACACTGCCACACATTGTACAAACTTGGTATGTCAAAGCTGATACATTATAAGAGTGGTTGACAAGTACAATATATAAAGGTATGAATAAGTAAATCAGTGCAGTAATTACAGTAACAACATAACTACATGTATGCATCATTTCAACTTAGAAAAGCAAACCAACAAATAACTAGCAATTTCAAAATTCTTGGACAGTGAGACAGAAGATTTTATTAGATGGAATAAGATTATTGTAAATATTCATGTCAAAAGTTTGCACAAGACAGATGAAATGGATGGAACAGATTCAATAATTGGATCATAAATGTTTTGTTTTGACAATCTACAAAAGCTGAAAATTGGTGGCTGCTGATGACTGCCAATTACACAAATGTTATACCTGTAGTTAACCAAGAGATACCTCAACCTCTCCTAAAATCTCACCACTACACATCTCTGCTTCTGTTAAAATACCATTAATCATGATTTTGTGAATAATTTTTGTGTGATACAAGTTAAATAAGTCAAACAATTTGTTTGGAAGTGAAAGCCTTTGGATTTCAACATTAATGATGAAAGTAAATGATACGGAAGACTGCATTTGAAGTTGGGGAAGGTCAACAATCAGTTCCGCGACATAACAAAGAGGCTACAGTATATGACAGTTTAATAACATAACAGCTAGAATATCAACAATGTACATGGTACAGAATGCGACAGTATTAGGAAAGTAAGCGATCAGTTCAATGACAGCTAGGCTATGGTACTTGATAGTTTAATTTAAATATATTTAATGCATGTCTGAATATAAAACTTGTGCCATGTTTAAAAGTGTTTCCACATGTACTTGTATTGGGTGCTTGCACACTGGATTATCTACTCACTTCCAAGCAAGCTCAATAAAATTGACAAGAAAAAATAACCATAGAAAGTTAAAATTGTTTCACACTGTACTGTCAATACTATTACATACTATATTTGGGCTGGTGTATAAACAAGTCTACAGTAATGTTACTGCCCTTGTTTTTATAGCAAAAATGTTCTTGCATCTTTATGCGATTTCCCACAATTTTTTGGATAATTTTGGACCAAATAGAGATAGTTTCACATTGGTTACAAGTTGATCAACAAGTTTAAAAAAATTATGCGAGTTTGTTTTATGAAAAGTTGATTTCAGCATTTAAAAGAATTAAATGTTATGTATACATGGCATGGACTGGGGAATCTTGAAACTAATATTACTATTTATGTCACACTGCCAATCAAATAGCGGATTATACCTGGCATGGACTGGGGAATCTTGAAACTGATATTACAGTTTATGTCACATTGCCAATCAAATACCAGTTGTACAATCCTGTGACAAATAACAAATAAATTTGATCCAATAACTGATGGAACTGCAGCCAATAAAATAGGATAATATAATCACATGACTTAAATTAGCCAATCAGTGAGAAGTAAATATATATATAACCTGTACTATTTATGACAATCATAAATAAAATATACTCTCTCTGTTCATAAGTAACAAAGCGATCAAAATATGGTAACAATAAAAAAATGCTATTTTTTTTTCTTCAAATTACTCGTTTGTATTCTAAAACTTCAGCATAATGTTTTGTTATCTAATTTCAGAATAATAACAAAAAGAAAAGACATTTTTGTATGAATGCAATATACATCGTCTTGGTGTCTGCTTTGCTGAAAATAAGCAATAAATGCCAAACAGTTGTAATTTGGTAAAGTGTAATAAGAGATTTATAGCACTCCAAGTAACGACTCAGAAACGCATATACCGTATTTTCTCTAATAGAAGCACATCTCCAATAGAAATGACAAAAATCAAAAATTGTAAACTGGACATTAAAATATATAACCATCAACACACCTCTGTCATTTATGTACAGGGGTAGAAATTAAGACCCGTCCACCTGTCCTAGACAGGCATATTTTATTTTGAATAATTCATCAATTAAGACCAGTTTAATGAAGAGGCAACATTAATTGTTAATTTCAACCTCTGATGTAAGTACATGTGCTACTAGTAAAGTAAACAAGGTAATATTTTAATATGTCATTTATTAGGAGCTAAATAAATGACTCATCAGTTAGATAACAACTTTTGTATGTGTCTTTACAATTCACACATGTATCAAAGTATCTTTGTATTCATGTACCTCTACAATCTCCAAGCATTAGACAGGAATACAAACCAACAATGCTCTACTGTAGGCAAATAACAACTGTTATTAAAGCTTTGGATTAAATTCCAAATGAAAATTCAAGGTGGGTATGGAATAAAAACCTGTTTTTTTTTTTTGCAGTCTCACATCATAAATGTTTTGTCATTGCATATTTTTTGCAAATGTTGATGCATGAAATCAAAAAAAACATGACCCCAAAATGTTCGTCCCAGTAAATTCACATTTGTGAGAGTCCCACAAAAATGTTTAATTTTGTTCGTCAAGATGGTAGTCACTTCATTTCCTTGATAACATTGCATCAGGCATACAAGGATTCAAAGATGTACTTATAATAGAACAAATATTGTATGCATAGATAATTTCTGTTAAATTCTGGAAACATGAAATCAGTTGGATAGCTGGCTAACTTATATATAAGAGTCTAGCATGAGTGCAATACAAAGTACCAAAGAAACAGCACACTATTAAAATAACACTAATAAATGAAATACACAAATGAGGACATGTGGACAGTGAGGTGGAGTCAAAGCCTACTACTTACATCTAAACAACGATATGGCAGTTTGAAAACAAACAGGTTACATTCCTCATTTTTTTATCCGAATAAAACTCAAACATTTACTACATAAATGGACCTGTATAAAAACAAATAATATTATGACTTGAAAAAATAAATGAAATCCCATAAAAATTACACCAAAGAGTACATTTGTAAGCCCATTCAGTACCCCTTAATTTGGTCAAGACTCCCAATATCAGACCCTGGTGAGCTACCCTCATTGGTTGGCTGACCTTGGAAGATATAAGCAATTTTAAAATTCAGTAAGTTAAAGAGTCATCTACTTAATGTGATCCAAGCGGTTGTCTTGTTACATTTTTCTTGTTAGTTGTTGGTTTGGACGTAACCGTTGAAGACTTTGGTGATGATGGTTTGCCTCCACTCCCAGTTTTACCTGTGCTTTTGGAGTTGGGAGTGCCTGTCATTGCTGTTGCACGAGGACGTGATGATGTTTTCTGAGTTGCAGGCACTGCAGTTGAACTTGAACGACCAGGATTCTTGGGGGGTCCATTTGAAGCCTGTTTAAAAATAATGACATTTAGGACATATTAGTGGAGACACATACTCACAAGAATTTAGTAGATTTTGTCCAACAAAAAACAAGATATTCCCAAGTGACCGACTGATTCAACACCAATCCATAAACTACTATCAATGTGAATTGTCACATGACTTTTAAAAGAAAGACATGTTCAGTACTAATAACATATATTTAGCAGCCATATGACGTAATTATGGTTGACATCAGTGTCATCAATGCTTACAGAGAATGTTGCAATTTTTCTTGTTCCTTAAAGGTCTATTACACCCTTAAGTGATAAAGGTGGATAATGTACTATATGTATGTCATTCATAGTAATCACATATTACCAGAGTTTGAAATTTCTCAAAATTGTGTACCACAGTCAAAAAGTTATCAGCCCTGCATTTACACACAATAGATATCTGTGACTATCTGGTTTTCAGAGATCTATGTGTTAAAAATTATAAAATTGTTATGTTCCTATTCCTAGTAAACCCCACTGATACTTTTTGCAGGCACACAAAATGTCAAAGTTACCATTTTAAACAGTTGCATTCTTTGTATAACTAGTTTCATACTAGCTATCAGAGGAGAATGGCATTCAGCCAGTAATATTATTTATCAAAATTGCATTTTCGAAATTGTTACTGAAGCAGACTATAGGAAAATGTTACCAGATTACCAGGCATGTCAGTTTTAATTTTCATCCTATCCTAACCCAACTGGACAGTTACCTGTCTTGGGCATGTTCCTATAGTTGACATAATTAATACAAGAATAACTTACCCCAGACTTGGTAGTTGTAGATGTATGTTTTCCTGATATTTTCTTGCTTCCTGTCAATGATCCTTTTCTTGTATCACTTGATGTACTTGGACTCTTGGTACCAGTCTGTTTAATCTAAACATGAACACAATCAAATTCACTGAATACATGCTTTCTAGTTCGTTCGCAATTTTTATGTATTTTTCAATAATTTTTTGTTGATAATATTGGACCAAACGAACATAATCTCTAATTGGCTACAAGTTTTGATCAAAATTTTAGAAAAGTTATGAAGAAATTATGTAATATGTGAATTTAAAATTTGTTCATAGTGACTTTGGTAATCAAAGGTTAAACACAAATTGCTGAAACTTACATACAAAATTAAATTTAACAATTTTAGCATGGCCCTGTAACATGTATAGAAGAATAAGAATACCTTATCTGTTTTAGCATGGCCATTAGCATCAGCACTTTTCTGTGGATTATTGTTATTTTCTCCATTTACTTGACCTTCTTTTTCCAATCTCATCTCTTCCTTGAACTGATTCATGAGATCTAGGACATTGAGACGAGCGGTTCCCTCCCCCGTAATCCAATGATGATCAAGGATTTCCCAGGCACCTTTTCTATGAGCTGTGTCTACAGTCAACATAGACTGAATTGCATCTTTAGCTGTAATGTAGAACACAGATCAAGTGTTGTCATCGGGAACAAAAATCAAAATTTGTTCCCAAAATGCATTGCTATAACGTGTGATCCTCATAACTAACAACTTTTCATGTTACTGTTTATAGTAGTTTTATTTTATTCAGAAATTTTGTTTAAATTTCAGTTGTAAAAAAGTTCAACATTTGTTGAAAAAATGTTCTTGTTTTTCCCCATCACAATAGTATTATGCAGTGAATAATTCAATTTGACACACATACACTTGCATTTTGTTATGAGTAAATGTCTATGACTGTTTGTAAAGGTAACCGCATATACTGCTGGGAAGCAACAGAATGCTAATAATATGGCATTCCCAATACAGGCATCTATGTCAATTTAACACCAATGTGGTTGTTATGACACATCCCATTTGATATGCTGTATAGAACCCATGTAAAATACAAAATTTAATTTAATAAGAAATGATTACTACCGTGTTAAGGCATTTTCCTTACCTGCATCGCTTACACTTGGCCACACTCCCTGGCTGAAGTCTAATTCTCCTTTTTTAATATTGTCATACAATGAGTCTTCATCATTACCAGTGAATGGAGGTGAACCACACATGCTGTGATTACATAGATGGTATGGCAATTAGTGATAGTAACAAACTGTTAACACATATATTACACTGTTACGTATTTCTGTGTTTTTTTTAGTGTTATTTGGTTTTGGTTTTTGTGAATGGGAACGCCTTTGCCATTGAGCTACTAGTAGGGAAGCACCCATGTGTTGTCTATAAAGGGGTCATTGGACTTGGATATTCATTACAATACTTCGCGTAGTCGACAGGTGTGTCAGGGTTCTTGTGTCACCACGTGGAGTGTAGGACAATTGGGTTCCGGTTTACGGTATGGGTTTTGACGCTGTTGCGGCCGGTCGTACGTTACCAATGCTGAAGGTCTGCTATGCCGTTATGTGTGTTTCTACAACGCCGTTCCAGCATTTGTGTATTTTCGCAATACCGTAGCCAAAGGTATTTCTTATGGAACTGACTGTTTTCACAAACTGAATTAAAGTGTTTGCATACATATTTGTATTTATATGAAAAGCCTGTGCCTATGAATTGTATTTGTATGACAGCATATTGTAGTTGATCAACTGTTTTTAGGGGCAAGCATTGTAATTGTATATTATTTCTATTGAGTTGGGATGTTTTTGTGATGTGATTGTGTTAGTGTATTGGACCACAATCGAGTGTAGTTATTGTAGTAATTGATGCGGTTTGGTGGTGTGTCTGAAGCCACTGTTTAATTAGTCAAATTGGAGCTCGTTGTTGTAAACCCAGTCGTAGTCTGGTGTTAGGATAATATATTCATGGGATGTTCAGAATGCTTGGCCTTAGTTTGTAACAAATTAAAAATGGCGGGAATGTCGGTGGTATAACGTATGTTGTATTTGACCAATATTGAACGTATAGTAATTTATTGTACATTGTGTTGATAAATTTTGTGTTTTGACAGTGGAATCCTGAAAACATTTTCCTGAAGCCCAGAACTGAGCAAAATGGTGAAAATTATTGAAACTTTCTCACTCTGTACTTAGTTTTCAATAACATCCACAAGCTTTGAAATATCGTTTAATCATTTCATATTTGGAATTTGCATTTCCTTATAGGGTAGGATGCAGATACCCCTTGCTACACTGTAACATATAGAGATACAGTGACAGATATAATACTGCTACTTGGTACTTACAGTGTATATGCAATAATTCCCATACTCCAAACATCACACTGCTGTGTATATGGATGACCTTTAATAACCTCTGGAGCTATAAAAAAAAAGATAAACAGTCTTGAAAGCACAATGTAGATTTCACAGATGATATCTCAAATATATACATTGTCTTGGTTATTGATAATATTGTTATTGTCCCACTATTTATACACAATTAGCTGAAATTCACAGTCCTTATAATTACACAGATTTATTTTGTTTTGTAATTGTACTAAGCATATGAGCTCAATGGGTAAAACAATTCTAAAACTGGTTTCCCACAAGTAAATATATTTGTCCATTATATAGTTATTGTATTAATGCTTTGCATGCCAAGAGCAACTTTTGCTAACATTTCAGGAATAAATCTGAATAATTGTTGGCATCAACTACACCTGTAAAAAAGTTATATTAAGACATTGTTTTTTTCAATCAACTTTTCAAATTTTTAAAAAAAAAATACTTTTTTCTCTACAGCACACATAATAGTATGATATCTGCCTTTATTTTCATGGTTGTCAAGAGCAACCACTTTTCATTGGTTGGTTGTCCTATGACAAAAGCAGTTGTCCAGGGCAACCAGACATCTGTCATTTCAATCCCTGTTTGGTGTAACTGTGACTTACCCATATAGATTGGAGTTCCACAAAACGTTTGTAATGCACTATTAACATTGCCTTTCACCACTGATAAGCCAAAATCTGTGACCTACAGGTAAAAAAAATGTTAGCGATCAGAAATCCTAGAATACAGATAAAATAATCAGACAACCCAGCCCTAGCAATTTTGTCTACTTTATATTTCAAATTTTGTACATTTAGCACTGAATTAAACAATACAATTGAATGAATGAACACAGCTTTTTTAAAAACTGAAAGAAAACCGTTCCATTTTTCTGTTTTTGTAATATATACATTTTGTTAAATATTCATCGACATTATAGGTCTTACATCAGCACCCTCTCAATTGTTGAGAGCTTCTTTCGACTTCCATCATGTAAAGTATAAGTTTTCAACGCACATAGTTTGTATTTACCCACATAAGCCATACTCCATATTTGTGAGCATGTGGGAAGGTTATGTGACCACCTTCCCTTTATAACAGTGTATTGCAGTAATGCAGTATCACATTTCCAATCAGACTTCCACTGAAAAAATCATTCCACTGAGTTGAATCCTTTCATGGAGTTCACATAGTGAACAGCTATTGTGAATGTAGTGAACAGTGCCCTCTAGCAAGTCATGCATAATTCAACAATGTTAACTATGGGGGCGCTAATCAGATTTCTATGTAACCTGTAAACTACTAGTCAAGATTATTCTGACTTACCTTAATAAAAAGATTATCTTCTGGACATTTGGGATCTGAACTTAATAATATATTTTCTAATTTTATATCACGATGCACAATATCTGTGAAAGCAAAAACAATTGTGTTATTTCAATTTTTGTATTCAGTTGTAAAATGGAAGTGAAAAGGCCTTTTAAAACAAATTTTACACGAGACTGGCAGCTTCAAAGAACTATTAAACTGGCAACATAAATAATAATAAATAAGAATTACATTTGTATAGAACACGAACACGCAATAATTTCAAACCAAACCCAACCTAACACCATGCTGAAATTGAACATGAGATGAGACAGGGCTGTAGCTTTTCCCAACCATAGTGTAACTTAATAATTCTTATTACTGTCATTATGTCTTCCACAAATACTAATTTCAAGAAATATTTGATATGATCATATAAGATTAAAATGCAGTTCACTTAATTGCCAAATCTTACTTACAAATAGTGCTAAAAAATGTTTTCAAAAACCTCCCAATGTACAATGAAATAATGACATTTTTGAAAACAAGTAAATTTATAGAGCCGTACTTCACTGATTGAGATTTTATTTTTGAATCTGTCTAACTTATTTCAACACCTGATTACATTCAAGTGTGAAAACCACTTTTGATAAAAAGATACTTACCATGTTTATGTAGATAAGAAATTGCACTAGCCAGTCTTTTTATAACTATACGTGTATCGTCTTCTGTAAAACACTGCCTTTCTCTAAATAATGTTTGCAATTCACCACCATTGCAGAGTTCCATTATTAAATATGTACGCTGAAAAAAGTATGAACACATGAATTCAGGTATTCCTGGCTAGACAAGTGACTGTATATACTTAAACAAAGCAAAAGCCAGAATTATTAAGACATAATATATATATAAAAATGTTAAATCAAAAATAGGAATCAGCATTTTTTGATTCACTATAAAAAGCTGTAATTGTACTCATTTGAACCATATTCAGAGCCCATCCAATGTTCAAAATTTCCTTTACTGTAAAACCATTTATTTTCACTGACATTTAATTTCACTATTTTGATATTTTGAGCATATTCTCTGAGTTTTAATATCACCAATTTGTCAAGGAAACAATGAGTTTTATTGTGTATTTACATGTTCATGATATTTAATTTAGCGGATTTTACTCATCAGCGAAAATAGCGAAATTAAAACCCAGTAAATAATTAATGCATTTACAGTATTTGGGTGAATGAATTGCACTGAATCACACCATGAACACACAGACATGCATGCTATTGGTGAATGTTGTGGGACATTTCATATTTGATGAGAGAACTGTGATATTAAATAGGCTCAATTTAAAACTAGGCATGCATTTTTGTTGATTGTAATTTCCTATGATGTATAGTAAATTTTGGAAAGTGTTAAATCGATCTGTCGTTTGAAAATACTTGTGTGATTAATGAGATGCATGTATCTGGGTGAAAGTGAATGTAATGTTCCAAACGTGATGCGATAGTTTGCACTGTTCAATTTTCAACTTCTGCAAACTCATATTTTCTTAGTTGGAATACCAGCTAGAAAATAGCAAGTACAAACACAGAGTTGTCAATGGTGAGAACAATACTGAAACACACAGCGGTTGAGATTTTAATGTACATAGTGATAACAATTATTTTGTTCATGCCACACAGTCAAATATTTTGCATATTTGACTAGTCATTAGAAATTATTTTCACAAGTGATGCAGGGTTCTCCCCAGCGTATTACAGAGTAGGGGTTCCTAACTGTTAAATTTGAGATAAACAATAGAAGCAATTTAGCATAATAATGAACACAATAGAGGTAATTAACATACGGTCCATTGTTACCCTATTCTATTTTACTGGGGAGAACAATCATTATAGTGATACAGTGCATTTTCACAAGCAAAGGATCACTAATGGAAATATAGGAAAAAAGGTATATTCGCTGGATTTTATTTTCACTGAATCATTCCTTCATCCAAAATAGCGAAAATAAAGTAATTTACAGTATTCAAAGTATTCTTGAGATAAAATGACAGATGTAAGACTCACCTTTGCAGTCTCAAAGATTTCTTCTAAATGTATGATGTGTATATGATTTACTCTTTTTAAAATAGTTACTTCTCTTTCTAGTAATTTTATCGCTGAACTACCCGCCTATAACAGACAATAACAAACACAAAAACTTTGAATAACAATTTAAAATACAGTTTACTATTACACGTCATAAAACTAATTTTTAATCATGTTATCAGAATGAGCATAAATACAAGAAATATATGAATTCAAAGTTGACATGTGATCTGTGATCAAGGCGGAAAACTTATTACACAGTTATTAATCATTCATAATCAATTATCAAAAACTCAAAGTACATACATACATGTAGATAGTCAATAATCAATGCATGAAAACTGATCAAAATCAATACTGTATTTATTTTCTTAGAAACACATTACATAACCACACACAGTGATACAGTAATTTCCAAATATTATTGGCATAACTGGTCATTTACGTAACCACACATATATTTTTTGCTTTCCCCTTATCCAACCTCAGCATACTTATGCAAATATCTGTAAGTTGATAAAAAAACACCTACTTTTTCCTTGTTTATCTTTTTAATGGCCCATTTAGTCCCATCTTCTTTCCTTGTTGCTTCTCGCACAACACCAAAACTGCCCTGCCCTAGAATCTCTCCTAATACATACGTCTCTTCAATAACAGACTCATCCTCTATTCTAGTGTGTGGAATTTGACGCTCAGCACTCCCAGTTCGTTTTCCAGCCATTGAGTCAAAGGTTATGGAAAGGGTCAAAATTCACTGAGTTGTACATTAGCCTCTGTGGTATACCTGTAATATACAACAAAACGAAATAATCCTTCATTATTATGACAAGATTACACACACAAATCTAAATTGCCCATTCGCAATGAAACTTAACCTTTTCACCACCAGTTCCTTCTTTTCATCACAAAATAGTCCTGTTTATAGTCTGCACTTTCCTTTAAGATTGGGACAAAAATAGCCAAATTTTTTTGAGTAAAAACTGATAATTTACTAAAATTTTGTGTATTGGCTACAAAATTAGGGTTCATTTTGAGACATATTGAATATTGAAGAATATCAGGGAAAAGTGGAAACAAATTGAGTCTGGTGGTGAAAAGGTTAAGACTGGGAATATGTAACCATCCTCAAATTGAATCACAGAATCAGAATTTGATGCAGTATTCTTACCCAACAGCACCATTTTGCGATTAAGGAACATTTTTTGATTTTTTGGAGTAAAAAATATGAAACCCACTAAAAATTTACAATGCAATTTTGATCTCTAAATTGATTAAGATTAAAATTATTATTATTAATGAAGCATGGTGGTATTCCCAGGGTGCATCTCACCTTGAGCTTTACTTAACATTGTACATTTTTACACATGCTATATTGTCCTTAACACGGAAGTACATGTAACCTGTTTTACACTACTGAGCATGTTACTGCACATATATGCAATGCATTATGGGAATAATAATAACATACAATTGTATGTTATGGAAAACTTATCAAATTGAAAATTAAATGTTTTATTTTTTTTGTTCAAAATTGTTCGGATTGATATCAAAAAATAATAACTTTTTCAAAAGCAAAATTTCAACCACTAAAATAATTTTTTTTTGTTAACATTTTCTATGACTCTTGTTTAGGGCAAATAGTCTGGTGACCCAATTTTTTAATTTTATTTTTGGTATTCAATCGGCATCAACCCATAATGAAAGCAAAACAAAAATAATATAAAATATTCAATTCTTTAAAAGTAAGATATATACGCCATGGATACACCGCACACAGATTTACTCATATACTAGTACTTGCATAATTGAGAGGGCAATCACCTCAACACATAAACCAACACAATGTCTTTCAATTTTATTGAGTAGAAAAAAGAAAGTCAACTAATCACACTAAATCATTAGTATTCCATGCCACACCAGGTGAATACATAATTGATTGCACTCATGTAATGTTTAAGTCTGTAGGAATATAACTATACATTGTATACATTGTACATGCAATCAGGTGACACTAATAAGTAATGCAAAGAACACAGTAGGTATAATTAGATTATACTATCTAATACACTAAGGCTGTCAATAATGGTTTAGAAATTCATTAATAACCATATGCTTTGGTATAATTGCTTGAGACATGTCCTTGCAATGACCTAGCTTGCTGTATAAGGTGCATGTACTATGTGGTATATGGTAACACATCACATCAACTGACATTACTGGACAACATAGTGATTTCAAATTAGAATGGATGGATTCTGTTATGGTGATATTTGACAATTCTTATCAAATTATACTGAGTATATTATTACTTAGCAGGCTGTTTACTCATTACATGTTAATGTAAAAAATTAACATATATCTGCCAAGCAGTAAAAACTCAAATATGTGAAATTTGCTAGCAGTCCATCAACCACAAAAAAAAAAGACATCTTGTCATTAAAATTGCAAAATCAGGAAAACAAGTGTTTTACGAGACATTACTCACCAGAAACGTGATCAAATGTACTCACTGTAGCTCAACGACAAACTCACAACATACATGTAACAAAGCCTCAACCACTTTCACTACTACCACAATTGTTCCAGATGCGTAAAGTTTGTCTCTTGTGAAATGAAAGCATGGTTTAAGAGAAAACATATTTTGATATAAAGAGAAGAAAAAAAGCTGTTCATCTTTCTCCTTCACTTGCTTCCTTGCAAATTTGATACTCCTAAATTTCAACAACAATCTAGATATTTCTCTTTCAATCGTTAAGACAGTTTCATGTTAAGGTAGAGATGCAGTTTACCTGACAGGTATTTTAATTAGTTAATTAGGAAACCAAGATGACCTCCCTTGTCCACAAAACTATACATTTTCGGAAAGCTTATTGTATGAATTTTAAAATTTTGTTAGTATTTTTTTTTTATGGACACTGTAGTTTGAAATATGCACAAAAATGTGCTTTTTTGGTCAAAAGTGATTTAAAAAAAATTAGCTTCTAAACCATGCTTCTGTTTCCTGTCAAAATTGGTTTATGAGTACATCTGTTTACTATGAAGAAAGTGCCGTCTTGAAAACTGTCTACCAGTTGTTAATTTTGCAGGGCAGCAGCTCAAATTTCACTACTTCAAGTTTATGCATAAATTAACACCCAGGCTAGTTGTCTGTACAATTGTTGTAACACTGTTCAACCAAAAAAAATGCCCCGACTGCGTTTTGAAGATAAACACACATTGTCAATCATTTGTGAAAATTTCAAAACAAAAGGTCAAAGCGTCTAGGAGCTATTTTTTTTTAAAGTTCTGGGATGTGCACTAAAAAGAAGCTGAGATAATTGCTAATTTGCATAACAATTCACTCAGTAAGAAGTTTGCTAATGCTCATAATTAAAATAGCTGTAACAGTTCCAAATTTAAATGTATTATCGTTTTGTTAAAAGTTAAATATGGTGCATGATATGGAGATCCCGTCATTTCTTTTTTTCACCATGTTTTTTTTTTTTATTATTTATGTACAGCCTTGCTAAATCTTGCTAAGCATTCAAAAGAGAGAACGTTTGCACCTGTTATCTATATGTTAAAATCGTTTTTTGAGTATGTTCCACTATTCACAATTCTACAAAATTTTAAAAGTCTATAGCCAAGACTGTTTGCATAATAAAAAGCAAAAAAAAAAAAAATCACTCCCAAGTGCCCACGAACCTGCATCTCTACCTTAATTAATTTTTTTCTGCAATGCATTATGGGAGATATCCTTCCATTGTGTAAAATGTAAAAAAAAAAAACCTGGAAACTCGCCAAACAATACCGGGTATGTCAATTTTTTAGTCCTTGTTACCAAGCAATATTTTGAAATATAAAATTTAATCACACTATAAAACCCAATGTAAAAATGCCATGTGAAAATGTTCTTGTTTATCGAAAAACTACCCATTTTTTTTTTTTTGGTATCCTGGTGGCATGAACCCAGAATGAAAGTATGACAAGCATGACATTCAATAGGTTGTTGTATAATGTACTACAGTGAAATCACTGAGATTGTAACTATAAATCACTATTCTTAATCAACAGGTTAAGGAATGCAGGACAAAGGAGTCAATTTACAACATGACATGTTATAACAACCAAGTAATGGTATCAATATCACCACTGAACAACCACCACCATTATGCTGTACTCACTTTAACAGGTCATGTCAATATCACCACTGAACAACCACCGCCATTATGCTGTACTCACTTTAACAGGTCATGTCAATATTTCGCAAACCTCTGTGAAATGATAGGTGTTATTTCTGAATAAGAAATAATTACCAAGCTGCACATGCAAGAGACTACATGTACGTTATTCAACAGAGCATTTGTAGGGTGTTCAATTACAAGATCTGCATTGCAGTCAAGGAAGTTCACACTTTTTATTGATACACTGTATCTAATGAGCTAGATTACAGCTATAACAAAGGTGTCACCACTGTGGCACCAAGTTAGATACATTCCATATGTTGATGTACACATTTGTGCATAATGTTTTATTTTAGAAACAACTCTTATCTGACTATATTTCAGCTATGTGGATCTTGTTAATAAAAATCCAATAACAGTGGCAACCCACTAGATTGGAGAACTATAAATCTGATTTTAGAGAAACGTTATTTTACATTAATAAAGCAAAAATTTTATACTGTGATGCATGTACACAATTATGATTGATGAGACATATTTATAATTCTTTGAATTTTGTTGTTCACACTCCACTGTCAGCTACAATAAAGCGACCAAATAAAAAAAATCCTTTGCTTCAGGTAACCCAACCTGCCCATATTTTTAGGGGAAATCAAAATTTATTGTAAATGGACATTCCACAAAAGTTGTATTTTTTATTTCATTTACTTTCTGGAATGACTATATATATACCAAATGTGTTTGCGCTACATAAATGACAGTGTTGTATGGCCAAAGAATTAGTATTCAAACAAGTCATTGTCAACGACACGTCCCCGTTCCGTTTCGTTCATATTTGAGTGACATATACATTCAAAGTAGATCATGACCGAAATCTCAGACCACTTTCAGTGGTCTGATCCGAAATGCACCTGCATATGTACAACACATTGTACTAAATCTGAACAAAATCCATCCATGCATGACTGAGATCCGGTTCCGGAATTGAGAAAATACGTGATTTTGATGCATTCTCGACCTTAAAATGGCCATCATTCAGCTATTGTTAAGCGGATCATGAAACAAATGCACATATCTATTTGTGACATGATGTACCATGTGTGTGTGAAGTTTGAACGTGATCAATCCAGACATGTCTCGGATACGGATCCAGAACTGAATTCTTTAAAACAAAATGGCCGCCAGTCGGCCATTTCAAACCTGATCCAAAAAAAAAAATGATGTGCATCAAGGTCCTATTATGTTTAATGTATGTACCAAATCTGAACAAAATCCGTCCATGCATAACTGAGATACGGGTCTGGAATGGTGAAAATGTGCGATTTTGATGCATTTTCGCCCTTAAAATGGCCGCTATTCGGCTATCGTTAATCGGATCATGAAAAAAATGCATGTGCATATGTCCCATATAAGGTGTGATGTATGAGTGAAGTTTGAACTTAATCGGTCCATGCATGTTCGAGATACAGGTGATCACGGACGCACACAGGGCAAAACATAAGTCCCCGTTTTCGGACTACGTCCGAACAGGGACTAATAAACCAGTTTAATGTGATTGAAGGTTTACATACAGTTCTATTGTAGATGTGCTTCTAAAAAGACAAATATGGTATGGACTATT